CCGAATCGCTTTCCTAATTCGGGACTGTGACCCGAAGATAGGTTATCATAAGGCTTAGGTTCCTTTGGAAAAGAGAGATCTAGACCCATTTGGGTACAAATAATGTATTGGAGGTAATCCGAGAGTTTGGGTTGTGCATTGGAGCCAAGGGGCATATCAGTAAAGTGGCAATTCGAGCTCTTTATGAAATTTGGATTTTCGTTCAGAAGGTTTTGAGGTGAGGATAAGTTGATAGATGTATAGAGCTTCTCGCCACCTTTCCGTGGATATAAAGAACGTCAAAAACGGAGTTAATAAGGAAGAAGTTATGGCCGTTTGAAGTTGGAATAGTTCGGGTGAGTGATCGTTGACTTGTTGACCAAGTTCATTTAAGGCTCACGACGTGAGAATTAAGGACTCACGACGTGAGGAGCGCCTGATGCTCCAAAACCCTAATTTTCGGGTATTTAAAGGTATAAGATGATTAGGGTTGCTTCTCCTTAGCCTCTTTCACTCCCAAGACCTCTGGAAACCCTAATCTCAACCCCCATTGAAGTTCTTGGTCATTTTGGTGTTATTCAAGAGATTTTAGAGGCTTTGAAGCTCATTAAGTAGAAGAAGATCATTGGTGGTGCATTTGTTAGCTTCTTGGCTTCATCATCAGCTAGTTGTGGAGCTTTTGGACCTTTGTAAGTCCTCAAGCTCATGCCTTTCCTTTCCTTGCTTTCTAGATCTAAGTTTCCATGCATTTTATGGCATGTAATGTTGGTTAGCATGCATGGAGTCCATAAAGTTGGCAACTTTATGGATTATGATGGAATATTAAGTCTTATATGTTCTAGATCTGGACTTTGGTCATGGTTTTGGACTCCAAGTTTGAGTCTTGGTCCTTTTTCCTTCATTTTGACCAAGTTGGTGTTTAAGTCATATATCGAACATATGTGACTGAAAAGATTTGATTTTTATGGTCCTTGGGGTCAAGGAAGACCCTATAAACTGTCCCATGTTAAGGCTTAATGGATTAAGAGCTTAATGCTTAATTTTGGTCAGATCTGGACTCACGACGTGAGGAATGAAGCCTCACGACGTGAGTACGTATTCGAGGAAGTTCCTTGACTGAAACCACGGCCTCACGACGTGAGTAGCCCCTGACCAAGTTTTGGACTCTTTGATTGTGGGCTAGCTTGGTATTGGACCTATCCTTTGGTTTGGGCTGATAATGGACTAAGGATTTTAGAGTAATGGATTTCTGGTTGGGCTTGCCTTGCTGGGTTTGACCTAATGGGCCTTGGATGATGAATTAGGCCTTAGCGGGCCCAATGTAGTTAGGCCTTGATTGGGCCCAATGGGCTTGAACCTTTGGGCCATCGAAAAAATCATTGGTTCAAAGAAGTAAATGGGCTTTAGGAAAAGGCCCATGTAAGGGTTTAGGCCAATTTGGAAAATTGGGCCATTGATGGGTTTTTATGGATTATATAGTTTTAGGCCTTAGTTATGGTCTTGTTGGGCCAGGGGTAAAATGGTCATTTTACCCCAAGATTTGGATTATGGTTCATGGTTAAGAACTTAGTTGCTAATTGGATTTTGTGTTGGTAATTGTTAGTTTGGGAAGCCGTCAGGGCAGCAGCTAGGGAGTTCGGGCAGCGAGCTTCAACATTCGAGGTGAGTTACCTTCCAGTAGAAGTGGGTCTAAGGCCACAATGCCGGCCCACTAGTAGGAGTTGTTTGTTAGATAATTGTCTTTGTGATAATTGTCTGGTATGCCACTATTTGTTATGTTTTATGTGCTAGTATGGTATGATGTTATGTGATAGTGGTAGTAGGGGGAATAGTCCCCGTACCAGGTCGAAAGGACCAAAGGGGTAGGTCGGGCACCCCGGTATGCCTGGCAGTATGTTTTTGTTATGTTATGTTGTTATGTGGTAGTGGTAGGGGTGAAATAGTCCCCGTAACCGGTTGAGATACACCGGAGGGTTGGTCGGGAACCCAAATATGCCTGACATGGGGTAGGTCAGGCACCCCGGTATGCCTGACAGTGGGGTAGGTTCAGCACCCCGGTATGCTCAGCAGGGTAGGTCGAGCACCCAGATACGCTTGACAAGGTAGGTCGGGCACCCAGATATGCCTGACAGGGTAGGCCGGGCACCTAGATATGCCTGGCAGTACGTGATTTGTATGGTATGTGGTATGATGGGGGAACTCACTAAGCTTCGTGCTTACGGTTTTCAGTTTTGGTTTCAGGTACTTCGTTTTCAAAGGAAAGGAGTCGGCTCGATCGTAGCGCATCACTCTACGATTTCCGCACATGAGATCTTTGGGATTACACCTTGATATTATTTTACCATAACTTGTTTTGATTATTGATACTTGGGTTTTGACATGAGATATTATTATGGATGTTTTTATACTGTTGGTTTATGAATTGTTAAACTAAAAACGAAATTTTTGGCCTTGAATTTTGGGATGCTACAGTTGTAGATCTTGATGGGCTTAGGCATTAGAATGGATTAAGTTTGAAACTTTATCCATTAAACCACTAGAGAGAACCAGAACTAAAAATCTAAGCCTTGATCTGTAAGGATTAAGTGCTTAATGAAAGAAGTAATACGCAAGACGAACCGCGACACAGTCAAATACTGACCACGACGCAGTGGACGAGGAAGTCTCACAACTGTTTTGTCGTGACTAAACCCAAGTGCGGTGGACAGTTGAATTTTGACCAGTTTGAATTTTGGTCAAGTTTTAGTGAATGTCTGTGTTACATCATTTATTAAGGGCTAAATGGTCTTTTGACCTAAGATAAGGCTTAGAAATAGAAATACTCGTTTATAGAGGAAAGTTAGGTATTATACCTTAATTAATAAATTAGGGTTAATTATTGTGTAGTGGTTCGAGGCAATATCAGTATCGGTTAGCCGTTCTGTGGATTATCTTATCAATCATTCATGTGAGTTCTCATGATCTTACTTATTATATGGTCCATGTGTTATGAGTATGCCAACTAGAGACAGACCTCCCATAGGGAATCTAGTTGAATCAGAAAGGATGAAAGGCCATGATAAACCTTTCGAAGGGAAGTGGTCAAGACCATGATAGACCTCTCGGAGGGAAGTGGTCAATATTAGGTCAACTAGAGACAGACCTATCAGAGGGATTCTAGTTGACTGGGGTTATGTATGCTAGCATATGTTATGTGTTCAATTATATGTGATTATTAATTGTTGATATGTGTTAGAATTCTACTTGATGTTATGAGGTAGAATTTAGATGATGTTTATGTGATATAATGTGAAATGCATATGATATTATGATTACTCACTAAGTAGTAGGCTTATAGTTGATATTCTACATTTTTAGTTGCAGGTCCTTCAGGTTCGAAGGACAATAAACTGGCTTGATTGGGATATCTGGACATTCTCGGGGCATGACATCCACTCTATGTTTATCTTTTATGACTTTGTTTTCAAAACAAGAATTTAACTTCTGCTTATGGTAATGTTGTTATGTTATTATGTTATGGATGGAACCCCTTTTTAGTATTATCATACTCTGATTTTTGAAAAATTTATGGTTGGTTTTTGGGATGTTACAACAAATGAAAGTTGTTATGTGGTTAAGGATGACGAAAGATGAGTAAACCGAACATAATTCAAATGCATAAACTTTTCCTCGAAATACGGTTAAAACTCAAATTTCATATGACTAGGATCGGTCATCCACTCGCCTTCGACCATGATTCTCAATATGGAAACTTGTTTTCTTTTATTGTTGATGATTCCTTGAAAGTACTTATAGTTTTCATTCCCTTCAATTCCTAAGCAACCTGGCTCTTCAAACCTAACTATTTTTTTGAAGATCATATTTTCTCTATTCTTTGGCATTTTTAAACTCTCCCTACCACACATTTAAATTGCTTTTAAGACCTTAAAATTTCTTTTTAAAATCCACCATATGGTTTTCCAAAAGTACCCCGTGTTAAAACCAAGAACACGTGACTACTTTCGTAAATTCGTCAGTAATATACCACAAATGAGACAAGCGTAAGGGACTATGACCATAGTTCGAACTAACATTTTTCAAAAGAATAAGGCAATGATCCAAACATTTTTTTTTCCAAAACAACCCTCGTAACGTTTGAGAATCTACTGACTATTCCATCTGAAATAAAAAAACCGATTCAACTTGGACATTTTAGACCTAAAATTTATACTCAAAGCAAAAGAATATCCCCCAAGAGGGATATCCACAAACCCGACATCCAAGATAAACTGATTTTACACACTAGCTCGACATCGAAGATAGATCGATTGAATACATTGACCAAAGATTGAAAAAAAAAACAACCATTTTCTTTGACACGAGACTTTGTTAAATTACCTAAAACCACAAACTTCTCAAATATGAGATAGCCAACAATTTGAACCACCATGTTCTTTTCTCATCCAAAAGTTGAGAAGCATACACCGTGACAATCAAAAGCGATAAATCTATTATCATTAGATTATCACCGCTTAAAATATCATGCCCCAATACTTCCATTTTTCATATGTATATTTACTTAACATATAAGTATCCGATCCAAACAAAGGATTTGTAGGTCTACAAGATATTTCTTGAATTTTTCTTAAGCAATACTTTTTTTATAAAAGCTAAATGATTATGAAAAATTATTTCTCAAATAAGATACAATAATCCTCGTAGATCAATATTTTTTAAACATATTTCCTTTATTCCATCACACATATCTATATAGTATTGGATCAGTCATAAAGCTTTAATTAAACAAATCTAAATACCTAAAGATATACAAAAATACAAAAGTTATTAAGCACCACTATATGTAGTGGATTTTTTACTCTTTAATCTTACACGAGATATAAAATTTGTCTTTATAACTAATAATTAATAATTAAATAAAAATAAAAAAATTATCCCATTTGGGAATATAAATACAGCTGTCAAAAAATTGGTAGTACATTTATCTGTAGTTGCCTCTAGCAAAGGGAAATCTAGAACAAAAATTGTCAGATACGAATACGTAGGAGGAGTTATGGGATGAAATATGAATGAATCAATGGCTTCCGTGTAATCGTAAGCGAAACCCAACTCATACGCACACTCTCTCTTCCTTCCTTTAAATCCTTTCTTTCATCTATGGGCCATCCACCGAATCCCCTACCCTTTTGAATTTTTTCATCTCTCTCTCTCTTTCTCTCCATCTCCAATTTCACCTCCAACCGCTTCTCTTTTCATCGGAATATACCTTTCAAGTTTCATCCACCGTCGAAAAAAGTAGGTATGTTTTTATTTTTTTAATTTTATTTTTAATTTTTTCCGTTTCAAGTTTGTCATCGATCGATGAGAGGATGACTGGTTTTGATTCTAAATTTTTTTGATGATTTTTTCATCGATTGTTATCGTGTAATACTCGGATTCTTCTGGTTTTGATTTGTTTATGAATTTTACGGTTTTTTATACGGTGATTTTATACGATCGGTTGTGTAATTTGATCATTATCGATGTTAACGATGTGAAGTATGTGAAGCGGATGATTTGAGGATATTGAGAGTTCTGAGAGAAGACGATGTTATTTAGGAATTGTTTTTACAGAGGTTATTGATTGATAATCTGAAAGAGAATACATAGGTCGTTTAGCTTGTAGGTAAGTATAATAAGCTTATAACCATGCTTGGAAGATGAGATGTTGGTTTGTAGCTTAATTTATTCAGAGATTGATGTGAGGTAGATGTTCGTTGAAGTTCCGAAGGTTTAGATTTGTCTTTCTTAGTGTAAAATTGAAGAAAATTCATTCTCTGTGTTCTTCCATAGATGTTGATGAATTCGATTGCTGTTATATATGTACTAATTCCTCTCTCTCTGTGTTATGTGTTCATAGTGTTCATGATTCATTTCATCTCAGCTTCTTACACTGAAAAAATTGTTGCTCACAGTTGAGAATTAGACAATTAGTCATAAGATATGGGGCATCGGCATCTTTTCAGCCCATCATACATGCTTGAAACTGAGAATGATCAAAGCTGGAACTTAACAGAGCATCCATACATTCATACTGGTAAACCTTTGGCTCCTTGAGGCTTGATCTGAAATCTCCATGCTTAATGTATGCAATAAATATTAATTTTCCACTTCTTATTTCTGATTTGCAGCAAGAAATGTGACTAGTGAAAGCACTTCTCTCATATATCCAGATAACATGTCAATTGATGGAGCACAATACACTCACTGTAATCACACTCCAATCTCAACACCATATTCTTCATTACCTAACAATCTTCAACTCCCAAATTTCCAACAAAATGGTGTTGGCCCTTCTGATCTTTCTATGCATACATCATCATCATCCTATATACCTTCTGAAGATTATAGAAATCTAGCATCTTCATCAAATTACAATGGGACAAACAATCCTTTCAATGAAGATTTATTCAATGCAAGAGGTCATTATAAACGCAAAAGCCCTGGTGTTCCAGATACAAACAATGGAAGTTCTTCTGATGTCACCATGCTCACTGAACCATGGCAAGAAACTCCAAGTATAAACTTTCTTCATGCCCCTTGGGATTATAATAATAACACAACAAACCCTGATCATAGAAGCAATGTCAATAATAGTCTTTCCATTGGTGAAAGCTCTAGAAATGTGAGGAGTAGGGGGATGTTTGACTTGGAAACAAACTCTTCAAGAACACATTTCACCAGTAATTTGTCACGTGACTATTTTACAACCAGTAGGCCCATGGATGTTTCCGCTCCAATGGATCTAAACGGGTTGACCCGGGATTGGAATCCAACTATTCATGGTAAGGTTTTATTGCTAATATATGTGAATATGTGATTAACCCTATAATATAACAAAAGTTATTCTACAAATTGCAGAAAGTAGTTCTCTCAATTGTGAATTGAACCCTTTTCTTGAAGGAAACAGTAACCCTAATTCTTCATTAGACATTGGACAACAACAACAACAACAACAACAACAAAACAATAATGTTGTTACAAGAAACAATCATGTTCTTGAAAATTTTCAGAGCACATCATCTGTAAGAGGAATTCGAAGCAACTATAGTCAAAGGCCTGGGTCAACTTTCAGGGTGTCTTCAACTTCAAGTAACTTGCGATTAGGTCACAATACAGATGAAGGGTTACAATTAGCAACAAATAATTATTCTTCAAGAAATTTAAGACCTTCTTCTTCTTCTTCCTTTTCTTCTTCTACTTCTTCTTCTTCTTCCACCATTGGGTGGCATAGTAGTAATAACGATAGGAGTGGAAGGGCAAGATTGTCAAATGAAAGATATCGGTCTTTTTCCGGGGTCAATTTCCATGATCGACCACAACCCGAGGTATTCATTATGATTTATGCCATTATATGCAAAGTTGACAACTTTACCATTTTGCCCTTCATTTGATCAATTTACAGGGTCTTGTGATTGTGGATCGATCGGGTTTTTATGGATCAAGAAATCCATTTGATCAACATCGGGATATGAGACTTGACATAGATGACATGAGCTATGAGGTTAGTAAGTTTTTATATAATTTTACATTTTTGGCCCAAGTTTTAATTTTTTTTTACAAATTTGGTCCAAACAGGAGCTTCTTGCACTTGGGGAAAGAATCGGAAGTGTAGCCACTGGTCTCCCTGATCATCTTATTTCAAAATGCATTCAAGAATCAATTTACTGTTCTTCAGATCAAATACAAGATGAAGCCACCTGTGTTATTTGCCTTGTAAGATTTCGGTTTAACACTAAAAAGTTTTAAAAAAGATAATGAAATAATATTTTTTTTGGTTTAAAATTTTCAGGAAGAGTATGCGAATATGGATGATATTGGGATGTTAAAAGCTTGTGGGCATGATTTTCATGTTGGGTGTATCAAGAAATGGTTGTCCATGAAGAACGTGTGTCCCATTTGCAAAGGGGAACCTGTGAAACAGAAATGAAAATAAAATTATTAAAAGAATTTTATTGTAAATAGATTTGTAAAATGGCGGGATTCTGATTCTTAAATCTTAATAATGTGGTCTACATTCTGCATTTATGACAATCATGATGCTGTTTGTGTCCCTGGTTAATTTGTATGCATATATATTTATATTTTAAATCGTAATCCAAGTTATATCGAATTTCGAATGGGATTCTTAATTGTTATGTATAACAGGATACGAGAGAAGATGTTGTATTGTGTTTGGTGAGACACAGAAGTCAAAGGGATGTGGGAGTACTACAAAGTCCCAAGGAAAAGGTGGAAATTTAGGTATGATGCTTAATAAAATTTAAAGTTGGTGTAGTTTGACAAAATATGAAAGAATAAAACCTTTTAGCACAATGTGAATGGTATATTGTGAAGTTAGTTGGATAGAAAGTAAAGCTAAAGATAAGTTGCCATTAAGAATTAATCTTTGGGAGGTTTAGATTAAGAGATATTTTTGGAAAATAAAGGTTTGTGTAGATAATATTTATTTGACTTTTAGTATATGTCTTGAATTAGTACATTGGTTCCAGAGTTTTAGTAACGAAAAGAAAGGTGAGTTTTAGTTACAAAAAGAAAGGAGAGAAAAAATGAGTTTTAGTAACGAAAAGAAAGGTGAGTTTTAGTTACGAAAAGAAAGGAAATGAAAGTAAGGAGAGAAAAAAAGAGAAAGGAAAGGAAAATACATTTTTATTTTGTGTTCCGAGTTAGAGAGAAGTGATAGGAAAATTAAGGTTGCGTTTAGTTACGGAAAAACAGTTTTTATTTTCCGTTTTTCGTTTTCCCTTTCCAATTTTCGTTTTTCGTTTTCGGTTTTCATTGGAAAATTTAGAAAACGCGTTTAGTTAAAACTTATTCATTTTTCATTTTCAGTTTTAGAAAATTAGAAAACGCGTTTAGATGTGTATTTTTCTATCGGATTTCATTTTTAGAAAACGGTAGCGGTGGTAGGGTGGGCGTGGGGACGGTGGCTGTGGTGGGGGCAGCGGCGGGGGGCAGTGGTGGTGTCGATGATGGTGACGGTGGTGGTGTGTGTGTGTTTGTGGGGGTTGGTGTGTGTGTGTGTGTGTGGGGGGGGGGTGGGCTTGGGAGTGAGTGTAGGTAGGTAGGGGTGTGGTGGGTTGGGGGTATTAAGGGTGAGGGTAGGTAGAGGTGGATGGGGTGGGAGTGAGTGTTTATATTTTAGAAAAATTTTGGAATTAGAAAAATTTTGGAATTAGAAAAATGTGGAAAACAATGATTATCGGTTTTCCAAAAATTTCAAACTTCTTTGTAATTTTAGAAAACGGAAAATTTTCATTTTCCGTGAAAAATTTAGAAAAATAGACGAACTAAACGCGTTTTCAAAATTCTCATTTTTCTTGGAAATTTTTTCCGGAAAACGGTCCATTTTTCCGCAACTAAACGCATCCTAAATGTTTTGTTTTTTCTCTCCTAATCCTTCCAAATCTGAAGGAAAGTTAGGAGAGAAAATGATTATTCCACATCCTTCCTTTAATGAAACTCATGAACACCATTTTCTTTTACTTTCTTTTCATTTCTACTCATTTTTCTTTCCTTTTCCTCGTTAATTTGAACTTAGGAACAAGAAGAGGGCGTGTATAAGAGTTTTGTGTAAAGCATGTAGAAGGATCAAATATGTAATTAAACCATTCTTGAGGATCATAGGTTAAAATAAGTGTTAATCTTTGATACAATGTGTTTTCTCGGGGAATATCTTCTCATTTATAGATATAAAATGATTATAAGAGAAGTGATACTACACAAAATGGGACTAACATGAGATCGATTACATAACATCTATATACACTAACACCCCCGATAAATAGTGTTATTGAGAGTAATAGCATGAAAGTTCAAACTCTTCCTAAGCCCGTGAGATAAAGATGATGGAAGTCCCTAGATGAAGATATTGCATAATGATAATTGGACAAAACATGAATAACTCATCCCGACCCAAAACAACTTAAGGGGAAAATAGATGTTTACTGTGATATGCGATCTGTTTGGTACATTCATGCTAAACATGATTGGTAGCCATGTATCAACACTAAAATCATCGCAATACACAACTATGGTTTTGGTAGATGAGGCATATCACTCGTAGAGAAGAATGTAAAACCAACAAGGTTCTTCAACAATGTTGGCTACATCTCTATACTCAACCTCATCATTGGACTAAGAAATAATACTCTTGTTTAGATGGCTAGGCTTTGAGGTTTGAGATAGAAGTTAACACCTACATATATGTGGTACATTGGATGTAGAATGTCATGTAGTTACCTGGTACATAGGGATGCACTTCAGTATGCTAAAACGGGACTCATGAGGATCATGTTGAGTTTTGGAGTTTAAGTGTTTCAGGCGGGTAAAAGATGTCCAATATCGGAAATGGTTTTGGTGAATGATTAAATATTTGATAGTGTCTCACGTATTTTATACAAGGTTGCAGATCTACATATGAGACCTCAGTCTCATATGTAATTGTAAACTTCATACCAATATCAATAATAAATCTTCTAGTTAGCCCGTGAAGGTAGCACGATTATCCTAATCGTGTGAACCACATTAATTTTTTAGTTTTTTTTCTTCGAATCTTTTAACTATGTGATTGTCGTTCGAATACCTAAAAACTGGTATAAGAGTTATGGCTGAAGATGGCAAGGTTAATATAGACAAGTTTGACGTCCACGATTCTGACTTTTAGAAGATGAAATCTAAGACTATCTCTACTAGAAAAAATTACGCAAAATATTCTTAGCGTATAAAACATTAGGATTAGGTGCTATTGGTTCGTGAGGCTCTTGGCATGGTATTGTTGTCATTGGCAAATAATGTAATGCCCAAGTTGCCAGGTACTTCCTTTTGTTGCTTATTTGAGTAATAATATCATGTTTTTGGGAGGAGGGCCGGCGTACATAGCGTACGCACGACGTACAAAGGTAAGGCGCGAAGCGGGGGAAGCCCATGCGTATGCTGGGATTACCCATGCGTATGCTGGGCATAAGCTGACCAGATGCAAACCCTAAATTTTAGGTTTTGCACCTTATATAAACATCTTAAGTTCGTCCCAACCTTCATTCCCTCAGCCTCCACTGTCCCTAAAGTGCTAAACTCGAACCCTAAGCCTCTTGCATGCATCTTGAGCTAATCTTGAGCCTTTTTGGGTGATATTTGTTGATTTTGAAGAAGAAGGAGTTTGAAGAAGGAGTAAGAATGTGAAGAGGACTTGTAGATCCAGAAGTTTGGCATCATTTCTGACTCATTTGAGGTATAAAGCTTTAACCTTGACCATTGCATGCTTAGATCTAGTTTTGGGGCGTTTTATGTTGCATTTTGGCTCAATAGTTAGGGTTTCTTGAGTTTTAGAAGTTCCAGTCCATATGAGCTATCCTTTTAGGCTCTTGGAAGTGTTTAGAGCCATAAAAATCGCGCCTTGATGGTTTGGCCTCAACCATGCAAGTGTTAGATGGCCACAAAGTGTGTTTATGGACTTAAATCATGTCTTAATCCCCATTCATGCATGCAATAGCATAAAGTTTATAACTTTATGGCTTAGGACGTCTTTTAGGGCCTGGATCTATGTTATGGACGTGATGACTTAACTGATTAAGTCACAATGAAGTTTCTAAGGTGGATGACCAATACGCTAGGCGTACCCCTGGTATGCTGCGTGTACTAGGTCAACTTCCCGTAACTGGTCAAGGCCAGCGTACGCTGGGCGTACGTGCCAAGTACACCGCGCGTACGCATGCAGTGGGTCAAATGTGGTTTTTGGGCCTGGATTTGTTGGGCCTCAAGCCCACTTGCAGATTAAGGCCTCTGGGCCTAGGCCTAGTATTTATGGTATTGGGCCTTATTGGGCCTTAAAGCTTAGTTGAATGGACTTGGGCATTTTAATTTGAAATTTGGGCCTTGGAAGGAAGAGGCCCAATAGGGCAAGGATTAGGGAACCTTTGCCTTATGTCATGAATCAGGGTTTGGGCCTTGGGGACAAGTTTAGATCCAATGTCTAAATTAAGAGGTTTGTTGTGCTATAGGGAGAGGAGTTCCGAGTCGTCCAAGGAGTATGATTTGACATTCGCTGTTGAGGTGAGTCTCCCTTTGTGAATGTTACGGGTCGAAGGCACCAAGGCCGACCCTTTATTTATTGTATTGTATGATGGTTGTCTGTGTGATAATTATCATGGTTCACGTATTGCTCGATGATTATGTGATTTATGTATGTTATTATGTGGTAGTGGTAGGGGCGAAATAGACCCCGTAACCGGTTGAAATAAACCGAAGGGTAGGTCGGGCACCCAGATATGCCTGGCAGGGTAGGTCAGGCACCCATATATGCCTGGCAAGGTAGGTCGAGCACCCATATATGCTCGACAGGGTAGGTCGGGCACCCAAAACAGTATGGTTGTGTTATATGTGGTATGGTTGGGGAAAAATCACTAAGCTTTGTGCTTACTGTTTTAGTTTGTGTTTCAGGTACTTCCAGCTCAAAGGGGAAGGGGCCGGCTTGATCGCGACGCATCGCACTATGATTTTCCGCAGTAGGGATTTTGGGACTTATGCTCTGATAATGTTTTTCCACGAATTGTCTTGATTATACACTATAACTATTTTAATGTTTTCGTGATCTTGGAATCAATGATGTTTTATGTTTGTGATTTGGTAAACTTAAAAATGAAATTTTCGAGTCGTATTTTTGGGGATGTTATAAGTTGGTATCAGAGCCTTGGTTTGAGGGATTCGAACATACTCTTGGGTGTGTTTGAACTCAAACCAAGGGTTTGAGAGATTTTCATAAGAAAAATATATTTCTAAAAATTAAAGACTTTAACAAAAGACAAAATGTGTGATGCGTGCAATCGGCCGGGCTCAAGTAAGTTTTCCCCAAGATACCTATACCTATTATCTGCTATGAATTGATTATGAATATGTGAACTGCATGCTAGTTAGGACTAGGGATCTGCTCAAATTTTGCATGATAAGATGCTAGGAGAGATGCCTTAGATGCCTGCTATAGGAGCTTGTAGGCTTGCATGCTAGTACTGATTCCTTTATGATAGAATGGCTTGATTAGGGTATGGTTGCTTCTTGTTACCCGAAACCCGAATGTT